GTAGGTTTACCTCTTTCACATGAGCCGTAAAGTAAGATCACCTCGCGCAATCCGCCGCCTTTCTCGAAATCCTCCACAGTCTATTCGGACTGGTCAGATCTCCGGTGACCGCAACTCTCCCTCAGGTCAGCTCCAGACTGTACGTCACCTGGGGAGTCCTCTACAGCTTCCCCGAAATCCGGACGCATTTCTTCGTCGTATCTCTGGTGATTGGCTGGTCGGTGACGGAGATAATCAGGTACGCGTTTTTCGGATTCAAGGAGGCGTTGGGGTTTGCGCCGGCGTGGCTTCTTTGGCTGAGGTACAGCACGTTCCTGATATTGTACCCTGTGGGGATCACTAGTGAACTAGGGTTGATCTACTATGCGCTGCCGTATATGAAGGAAACCGAGAAATACAGCTTCAGAATGCCGAATAAATTGAATTTTTCGTTTGATTATTATTACTTGGCATTTTTGGCTGTAGGGATTTATGTTCCGTGTAGTCCTCATCTGTATGGGTATATGTTGGGGCAGAGGAAAAAAGCTCTCTCCAAGGCTAAAACTCAGTAGTGCATTCGTGGTTCTGAGAAGAATTTCTTTCTCAAAATTTGTAGTTCGAAAGCGGAGTCTGTCGAATTTTACGTGTGTTGTTCGTTTGGAAGTTATTTTGTTTTTTTCGTGTTTTCGTGTAATGTGAAATCGAACTTTGTCGATTAAGAAACTGAATTTGATCTTAAAGTTTTTAACCATGGCTAGTACTAGAAACTGAATTTGATCTTAAAGTTTTTAACCATGGCTAGTACTTCACCCGTGCATCACATTCGCATCGTACGGGATCAAACAAAACATTGTGTATATCTTAGATTTTAAGAAACTGGAATTTGTTATGAAACTGAATTTGATCAAATTCAAAAAAAAAAGAAACTGAATTTGATCATCTCTTAGATTTTAAAGTTGTTAACCATGATTCTATTAACACCATTATTGAAGTTGCTATTCTTTTATTCTTTTCGAAGTCTGCAAGATAAATGTGGTATTAATGTGCATTAACCCTTACCTAAATTAGAGGAATTGAAATATGCAAAATAAATAAATAAATAAGTAGCCATTATTTTTCATTGAAAATATAAGTTTAGTGTACAGGGCGGCCATTGATTGTTGGACGCAGCTTGAACTCTAAAAGCATGTAATTAAAACTCTATAATGACTATGGTACCCTAAAACTTTCATTCATCTATCAATAGCCTCAAGTACATTTGTAAAAGATTGCTGCTCAGTTTTTTAAGTGACTATGAAAATGCTTCGTCAAACCACAATAAAATTATCGACGAATAAGAGAGCAAGGCCAATGTTTGGGGAGAGATCGGGGAGGTAGCACAGAGAAACCCACTTAACAAACAGACACTTTGCACCTTTTTTACTCGCTGTTTTACAGCAAACCAAACAGAACCAAACCGAAGAAGAAAAACAAAGTGCAAATACTCTTTGTGATTTCCTCAATTAATGGCATGGATTACTACTACAACTCAGGTTTTTTAGGCTTAGCAACAATAACTGTTAGGCTTCATTAAATAGAAATAAATTGAGTCATTTCACACCGAAAATTCAGATTTGCACACCGAATCAACAGTTAGAGTTGCACACCAAATATTCAGATTTGATCGAAATACAAATTCAACACCAATGTAATAAACTATAACAAAGTTATCAGATATCCAAAAACCAAACAAATTCTAACAATTCATGTTGACATAAGCATGGAGATCAAGCATACACCTATCTAAGGATCCAATAATAAGTAAATCAAGACAAAGCTATGCTTTAAAGACAACTACTCACAGAGAAAGAAAAAAAACACGCATCGTTGAAATGACACATATCAAGATATAAGGAATACGAGGTTAAATAAACTCAATACGGGCCAGACCAACAAACAAAATCTAGTAGCAATATAACAGTTGGCAACCCAAAGTTTAAAGTCTTTCAAAGAAACAAGATTAAAGCTAAATAAAACAGAGTCCTATTCAGACAAAATCCATTGAAGCTCAGGAAAAAAAAAACAATAAAAGGCAACTCCTAGGTGTTTGTGGCCCTGGTGTAGATCTGCTGGCTCGAATGTGCCGACACCATTCTGATCAAACCTCTTGCCATCAGTTCTCTGATAGCTTTCCTTGCAAGAGATCCACTGATCTGCAATGTTCAAACAATCGGATTTAATATCAAAATGTACATTGCAAATTGCACAATCATTTGAGAAAGAACAGAAGTAACGAGCGAACAAACTTTGGTTGATCAAAACACTCAAAACATAATTTCACAAACACTCGAAACATAAAATAAACACCGGATGAGGGAACAAATATTAACCCAGATAATTCCAGTAACCTAATCGCCACTTAAACTCTACGGATTTCGGTAACATGTCTATACTCTAAAGCTGATCCCGTGATTTTTCAACAGCTCTATGTTGAAAAAGAATACATAAGGACGATTGAAAAAGGATAAAACGTATATGAATTAACATTACTTACGACTGACCAAAGCTACAACTTCCCTATTTACAATACACATATAGCATAAAATATAAACTAAACAACAAGAAACATAATGCATTTGAAACTGTTTAGTATCATGATAAATTGTGATTAAACGAGTTGTAGAACAGTGTACGATAAGCAAGCTAAGTATATATATGTTTCCAATAACAACTATTCCACGTTTACATCATTGAGCATAAATATGAGCACAATATAAACAGAAAAGCACAGCAAATTAAAAAAAACATTATCTACAAGAACATTGACCACATATCATCAAACAAAAACGCAATCAAATAACTAACAAACGAAGAAAAAAAGGTTCGAGATATATAAACATGAATAAGGTTTATCAGATCTGAGGAATTAAAAAAAAAAAAAAGGAATTGTTTGTACCCTGAGACGATCGGAGAGAACGGAAGGAGTGATGAGCTTGTATTTAGGAGCCTCAACAAGCAACTTCTCATAAGTCACCTTATCAAACAGCACCATGTTGTTCACCTTCTCCTTTTGCTTTCCCTTGCTCCACTTCTGCATTTTTTTCCATTCAAATTAGATAATTCCGAATCTACAACCAAACGCAGAAATTAAATTAAAATAAAAAGTAACGACCTTCTTCTTCTGCTTGCCACCGCCGGATTTCGCCGGCTTTGATGACGGTGGGGGAGCCTTCTCCTTCTTCGGCGCCTGATAAAATTATTACAAAAAAAAAAAAACAAAAAAAAAATGGAGAATTAAATACCATCGGAAAGCGGATTTAGTGTGTGAAACTAAGAAAAATATAATCAGTGCTGCGGCGGCGCACCATCGGAAAGCGAGAGTAGGGTGTTGAGGATGCGAGAGCGGCTGGAAGTTAGAGGGGGCAGCGGAGATGAATATTAGAGAAGGCAAATGACTGACAACTATCTAGGGTTTTTATTTGGTTTTACATTCAAAACGGTGTCGTTCTTCTCAATTGGGTTTTTTTGGGCCGGCCGAATATAGCTTATAATAACACTTCTGGGCTTTCTTTCATGGGCCTAGGCCTAGTAATTTAACCAATTAGAAAATATAAAAAATGGATAAATTACGATTATAGACGAAAAAATCTCTCATGTTTTTTAAATTAAATTCAGCCCCCTGCGGTTTGTTAATTTCTTACATCCACCCCTATAAAAGGTGTTAGTGTAAGCAATCTACACATCGCATGGATTGGATGTAATTATGGAAAAGTTAGGGGCTTTTTTCGTAAATAAACTTCATTCGTAATTAGATAACCACTATTAACAAACGGAAATAAAGCCTGGGGTGTATCGGATAACTAACTCCCTAACTAACCATGTGATGATGGGGCAATTGTTGATTGGAGCTGTAGGGATAACCGGGGGGAAGCTTATGGAAGGATTCCTTTGTGCATATATTATAAGGAATGACGAGTTGCTCGAATTAGTTCGAAACACATACACTCGCACGATAAACAAGCATTATATAAGAAGAGAGAAAATATAGAAAGAGAAGAGCTAGATCTGATGGAAGAAATATGAGAATTGAGAAAAAAATTGAGCTATTGTAATCTTTGTAACATGCGTTGTTTATCAATCAATAAAGCGCTCTATTCCGTGGAAGTATGCAATTCAAGGCTGAACCACGTATTCCTTGAGTTCTTCATCGTCGTGTTGTCCAGCCATCAGGATTTTAAGCTTATGGTTAGTGTCTGTTCTATGGCTCATTATTTGCATTGAATTTTCTGTTGCAATCTTCGATTTGAATTTATTAAATTGTCCAGCAATTACACTTGCACGAATCTAACTAAATTATTAGTATATACTAAAAATTCTTGACTTCAATTTCTCAAATCCAACAAAGAAACGTAGTACAGTTAGAAATATCCAAAGTCGTTTTAAGTGCATATGCCATGGTTAGTGATATTTCAGCTTTTGAAAAAGATGTTCAATAGGGAATTTAATTATTTATATATACATATATATATATATATATATATATATATATATATTAATTAAAGAAAGTCTTAAAGAAAAACAAAAACAAAGAGCACATATCAAAAGTGGGATCCGACTAAAAATCCTCTAAATCCAGCGTGTGCATCTTTTATGAATTGATAGCCAACAGCATATTACATTGTGTTTATATATTCAAGAATTATTCGAGAAACATAATTAATTAATTAATTATAATTAAAAATAATTAAAAAAAAGTTGTCTCCCGATTATCAACTTAAGAACATAGTCCAGGAAGTGATTAATTAAATCAACTAGGTTTCAGCTTTGGTGTCCGTATCCTTATCTCTTCTTTAATTATCTTTTTAGAAGCACAAAAGTTGCTTTAAGATCAATAAAAAGTGTGATTAACTTTGCATTAACTCTGGATTTGTGAAATGCAATAATTTCGTTCATGAATATAATAACTTTCATATAGTGCTGGAATAACTGAAAATACTTGTATCGTTTATTCTATTTGACTACTTGCACCAGAAGACGAAATCCCTCACCCCCAAGGCCCCATCCATTGGCCCGACCAGTATTTGATGGAGGAATGTAAATCATAGTAACTCAACGGTCCGTTAAGGTTGCGGACCCGGACCTGGTGCCCACAAGGAACCAACCCTCATTGAGGTTGATATTCCCACACTGCGACTGTCAGTCGATCCTAGGACCTTGCACCAACTTACATATAATAACACCCACCTATGCAGATATGTGTTTAATGACTAGTTATTTACGTATTTCACCATTTTTTAGTTATAATTTTAATCATATTTTTTTAATTTTAATCATCAACGGCACTTTTTTTATTTGATATTCGAAAATAAACTCTCACAAGTGGGACAAAGAAAAAAAAATGAACATTAATAATTTAGGTTAATGGGAATATTAATGTGGACCATTAATCTCTTAATTGAGATAAAAAAAAATGTTTCAAAATCAAAATAAAAACATTTGCACTACAAATTTGTAGGATATAAAAAAATAATAATGAATAATAATAAATATTGAAATGCTTTTAGAAAGAGATGTCTCCCACTTAAGGCTCTATTAGTTGGATAATCTAAACAAAAGTTAACCCATGGGCCCCACAGATCTAGAGCATTTGAAGTTAAAGCCGCCTCTATTAAAGCCCAATTATTGCCAATTAACCAGTAAAAGTGGGCCCACTACTTTTAACCATATGATTTGGATTTCGTTGTAAAATTACTAAATCCAAACAAATTTATATATTTAAAACTTGATTTATATTAATTGTAGGGACATGATGTTGTGAAAATAATCAATGATTTCAAATTGAAAGCTAAGAACCTGCAAATGGTGATGGAGAAACAACCAAAGAACAAGAAGACAATTACAGTGGTTCGATTCAGAATAGATTTATATCCACTTGAAACGGCCATAACTTTAATTCGCTACCACAATTTCAGAGAGAATAATTTATAATACGAGGATTACACAATGATGATCTTACACAACTTAGATCACTCGCAATCCCTAATATGCCAAGCACTCGAAGAATTCTCACAAGAGCTTACAAATCTCATAGATTTCCTCTCAAATTTTTATGCTAGTGCGCACGAAGCAGTTTTCCAGCTCAGAATGCAGCCCAAAGGGAAATGGTCCCCTCAGTCAGTTGCAATTACGTGAAGTATGTCTATGCACATATAACTTGATCTCAATTATGGTAGCAATAATTTGATAATTAGATGATGATAATTTAATTTCAAATAATTTTGTGATTTGAATATTTTCAATTTTATTGTTAGTGGACAAATTTGAAAAAGGAGATGGGAGTATGGGTTAATCAAGGTCCCTAAAATAGAAAGAAGTGGTGCTGCTAAAAACACCAAAACTCTACAGCTTAAACTGCCACGTCAAAGAAAGTTTGCAAGTAGGAAAGTAGTGCCACGTGGCATTTTCTTAGTAAGGAAGAAAACGAGCTGGCCCTACAAGTGTACAAGAACCAAAAATCAGAAACTCAAAAAAAAAAAAAAAAAGAAAAAAAAAGAACTGGGGTAACCCCACAAATTGAAAAAGAAAGCAAGAGGCATAAATAAAAAAAGTGGTGTGGTGGGGTTTCAGGAATATATTCCAATGAATATGATCCATTTGGAGGCAAAAATAGCACCTATTGTACTGAGTATTGCTAACACACAGTAGTAGATTTGTCAACTCAAATCAAATTCTAGTTTAACTTCATAAGTTATAGGGTAAATTACCAAAACCACCAAACTTTGACTAAATTATGAAAATCATCCCACGACGCTTGTTTCCGTTTTACACCGACTCTTTCACGGTGTAATTTTTCACGAATTTTTTTTACTCCATAGAATACTCCCCAAAAAATACTGATTCTACTCCTATAAACGTACAACAAATTGAAGGTAAACATGCACATATGTTTAAGCAATGCCTATGTGTCCTTTGATGGTTCATACTAGCAATCCAAAAAGTGTAGTGACATTGCAATGTGATGTTGCAGATAATGCGGTTGGTGCAGAAGGTATACCAAGGCCATCTACATTTAAGAGATGGTTCCTAGAGGTATAATCAGCATTTTTCAGGAAAATATTCCCTAAAATAAAATTAAAAAAAATCCATGAAAAATCGGACCATAAGAGGGTCGGGTGTAGGAAGGAAACAAACATTGAGGGGATTTTGGTAATTACAGATAGATGGGGATGTTTTCCGTAATTTAGCCTAAATTCATGGAGATTTTCATTATTTACCCTTAATTATATATGTCAAATAAAAGGAGAAAAGAAAAAGTAAATCATCAAAACAAGGGATGAATTTAACCATATGTGCATGGGAACTTCTCAATTCTCATTAATTCAATGGCAAGAATTATTGAAAGTAAAACACAATTGTTACAAGTTTGATAAAACTATACGAGGTCGAAATGTTTACTACAATCATGATCCAAAAATCTTTTATCTTGTTAAACAGTTTTAGTGATATTGTCTTTTCCACTGCTTTCTAACCTTCCTTCACTATACAAGCAATAATTGTATGCCTACTCATCCAAATTACAGCCCAGAGAGAGAGAGAGAGAGAGAGAGAGAGAGAGAGAGAGAGAGAGAGAGAGAGAGAGAGAGAGAGAGAGAGTGCATGCATAACCACCAGCTGGAGATTTCTACTTCAACTACTGACTTTTTATTTCTTTTTGCTGCCCAAAAAACAAGTGGTAGAACCCCACTACTCCACACTTCACCATATTTTTTTCTTTATTTTATATACTAACTTATATAATTAAAATAAAAATAAAATAAAATAAAAATCGAATCTTTATATTCTTTGAGTCTATAAATACCACTCCTCCCTCTTGCACTGCCATTCCATAACCCAAAACAAAATAAAACAGAATAAAAACCAACATTGCATATATTATATAACACTACAATTGTTTTTGTTTTGTATATTATAAACTATGAATATTGTACTAATCCACTTGTTCTATGTGTTTAAATTGAGGGCTCTATCCAATTTCTCAAACCACTTCTCTTTCTAGTGAAAAAAAAGAACACACGTCTGTTAATTCCCACGAAATGGATTCAGTCAAGTTTCAAAACGTAAAATCGGAGAAAGCAAACGCGATTTCGAGGCACCGAAGGACTCAGAAACTGACGACTTTATTCCGATTGGTGGAGCTGTTTGTTTTCCTGGTCGTAGTCTCCAGGTTTTCCAGTCAGTTTGCTTTTTCTTTCAATATCTCCGGCGAATATTTCAGGGGAATCTCGGTAACCCTAATCAGCCCTAGATTCGTTTTCTTAGTCGGAAACACGATTATCGTCATTCTCTTCTTGTTATCTTCCTCCAAGGGTGGAGAGAATGAAAAACGACCCACTGATTTCTACGACGAGTACGTCGAAAAATGTCGAAACAACAACCAGCAGATCACCCACAGCAAGCATGTCAAAAAATCGGCGCCGGAGGCCTACGAATTCCATAATGCAAATAAGATAATAAGCAAGAGCAAATCGGAGATCAATCTCGAGAGGAGGGGGGCGGTGGTGGTTAAAGGGGAGGAGAGCCACCGCGATTTGAGGCGAAGCATGAGCCAAAGTTGCCGGAAAAGCGTGGATTGTGGGCGGAAGAAGGCGGCGGCGGTGGTGGTGGAGGATGAGATGAGCGGGGAAGAATTCCGACGGACTGTGGAGGCTTTTATTGCACGGCAGCAGAGGGTTTTGAGGGAGGAAGAAGAAGAGTTTACAGCACTTGTTTCAGTTTGAAACATGGATGTACGTGGTGCTGTTTCTCTTGTACCTTTTTTTTAAGGTTTTTTTTTAATTATTTTTTTTCCTTCCTAGTAACTTTCACAAGTCTTGTTTTTTTGAGTTCCTGGTAATACGGAGTTACTAGTATGATAAGTGAATGGTAAGAAGTACAACTACGTACTGTACATATATATCATTCCTATCAAGTACGTATGACATGTATATATATGGGAACTTTTATTTCACCAATTTTCTCAGTGCCTTGTTTACATGCTTACTTAATTTTTAGGGCAAATTACAGCCACACTTTTGAGGTATACTCAAATTACGAGAAAAAAAACCCTTAACGGCCACCCCTCGACCATATATATTGTCTTACACGTTCACCCTTATAGTGTCAAATTTACCCACCGAAGGAGGGGTTTTTTCGCAAGACAATACATAGTTGAAAGGGTTGGTTGTAATTATCCAAACACGAGGGGGGATTTCGTAATTTGAGCTTACCTCGGGGGGCTCGCCGTAATTTGACCTAATTTTTATAAGCATAAGAAATTTGAAGTATAAAGCCATCCACAAATAAAGTAATTTTATTGTGATATGACTCGGCTCTTTCAGAGCAGTGCACAAATCTTTTCAGGAAAGTTATATAATGTAGAAAAAGAAATTGTCTTCCATTCCCTAATCTGCCTTATTCTTTCAAGAAACTTACTAAAGTTTTCACTTTCACACACACACACACCCATGTGTATGTGTGTGATCCAAAAGACGAATAGTCGAAAGACGACGAGGATATTAATCTATTAACGGCATGCAATTTGCCGTAGTCTTAAAGTTCCACACCTAACATTGAATTAAAATTCGACATTATTACCTTAGCCTCGCCGTCCGGTCAACGAAACAAGACAAGAAAACTCACTCTTACTACCATAAGAAGCTTCCAAAGAAAAACAAAGAGAAGGAAAAAAGAGCACACCCACTCACTAAAATCCAAGAAAATAGTTACACAAACTCTCTTCCTCGAAGTTTCCTCTCCCAACTAACACAACACTAAGTGTAGATAAAATGCCTTCCTTCCTTAATTTACTTCATAGCAATCATTTTCATATTTCTATACAAATTAAATCGATATATAAAGAAAAGAGAAAAACATGGTTTCGATTTCAAACATGTTATCCAATCACGCGGCCAACTTACCATCTGCAAAAACAATCATCTCAACCGCAGCTTCACTAGCCGCTTCGGCTATGGTGATCCGTTCGATCGCCCGTGATCTAATACCCTACGAACTCCAACAATACGTCCACTTATCAATCCAATCTTTCTTTAAATCATTTTCCAATGACATCACTTTGATCATCGAGGAAACAAGCGGACTATCGGCCAATCAAATCTACAAGGCGGCCGAAATCTACCTAGGCACGAAGATTTCTCCCCACACGGACACGTTCACGGTGCACATGCCCAAAATGGAGAGCAAGATTTCGACTTCAATGGCCAAAAATCAAGAACTTACGGACGAATTCAATGGGAACACCTTCAAGTGGCGGCAAATCACTCGACAAATCGAGTCCGCTCGTTCGAATTCATACCCCGGTCAGCAAGTCAACCAGTCAGAAGTCAAGTATTTCGAGCTCCGTTTTCACAAGAAACACAAGAAAACGGTGTTTGAGTCTTACTTCCCTTACATCCTCGGGGAGTCGCAAATAATGAAAGAAGACAAAAAGACCCTCAAAATCTACACTTTGGGCAACGATCGCTACACAGGTGATTATGCGTGGAATTCGATTAAGCTCGATCATCCAGCAACATTCGACACTTTAGCGATGGACAATAAGCTAAAGAAAACAATCATAGATGATCTTGATATGTTTGTGAGGAGGAGGGATTTCTATAGAAAAGTGGGGAAGGCGTGGAAAAGGGGGTATTTGTTATACGGCCCCCCTGGGACTGGAAAATCGAGCTTAATTGCTGCTATAGCAAATTACTTAAACTTCGATGTGTATGATTTGGAGTTAAGCGGTATTCAAACAAATTCCAGTTTGAGAAAATTGTTGGTTAATACAGCGAATAGGTCTATACTTGTGGTGGAGGATATCGATTGTAGCCTTGAGATTGACGATCGCAAGTCAGATGAACAAATTCTCAAGAAACTCACATCGAGTCAAACCCAAATCCAGACAGTAAATATTATTCGAAACGATAAAACGAACCAAGTAAGTATCCATTTGTGTGTGTGAGTGACATAATTGCATTTCTTGATCATTTTTGTTGCAAGTAGTTAAAATCCCGATTAAAATCCTAAAATCGTAGTAAAATCCTAATCCAAGTAAAATCCTTCTATTTTGCGCTTTAAATCTTTAAAATCCCCTTTCGAGATTCTCCTTAAAATCCCGATTTTGACTACATTGTTATTTTTGGTGTATTTTTTGTTAGGTGACATTATCAGGGCTGCTAAATTTCATTGATGGGCTATGGTCAAGCTGTGGAGACGAAAGGATTATAGTGTTCACAACAAACCACAAGGACCGATTGGACCCGGCTTTGCTTCGGCCGGGTCGAATGGATATGCACATATTGATGAATTACTGCACACCTTGTGCATTCAAGATTCTAGCGAAGAATTATCACGGGATTAACAATCACTCGCTTTTCGGCGAGATTGAAGGATTGATTGATGATGTCATGGTGACACCAGCAGAAGTTGGTGAGCAGTTGCTGAGGAATGAAGATGCTGATATTGCACTTCGTGAACTTATCGAGTTTCTTCGAGAGAAAAAGAGGCAAAGCGACGAACGAAATGCAAGAAACGAAGACGATAAAGGAGAACAAATTGAGGAATAATAATAATAATTCATCACCAATTTTCGTTATGGAGTGTCTGAATCTGAGATATCAGTTGTTGATTTTGATAATAATTTATGATGAACTACTAAGGCCTCGTTTGGTTTGATTCCTAAAATAAGATTAACCTAATTTTATGAAAATCAGCTTATCTAGCACTAACCAAACATCAAATAAACTCCAATTTTAATTAATCACGGCTAATTGTACAAAACAAACAGAACTTAATCATCAATACCTTACGATCGATAGAACATTTCAGAGAAATTAAAAAAAAAAAAAAAAATCTAATTGAATTCCTGAGCGACGAATTGTCGAATTCAACATTTTCTGATCCAATTAAGGAAATGTGATCATTCTAGAATCTACGTACCAAAAATTTAATTATTTTCATATTTTAAAAGTTTAATTCCCAAAAAGTATTAATTACGTACCTCTTCAAAGACGAACAAGCTAATGTATCCATGGATTGTGCTCCGGCTCCCCTCGAGAAAATCAATGGTCTCCGATCCTCCGCCGCCCAGAAAATAAAAATAAAAATTCATTTATCCATCTCGCGGGCGAGCAGCCAAACAATGCCTAAGTAATAATTTGTTGTTTCCGTATTATGAGTTATGAACACGAACATCACACAGTCACAGAAGAAACATGGGTTTATGGACCGCCACTTATAAATATTTTTATATATTTTTCTAATAAGGATCATAATAATTTAATTAAGTTAATTATTTAATGGGCCTGTTTTTATTTCTTCTGAGACTCGGGAATGGGCCCACCTGCTAATTAAGACGTGAGTTATCTGATTAAGACATCCGGCCCATTTTAAGTAATTAAATATTAATATATAATTTATATCAGATATATAGCATTATTAAAAGTCTAGATGATAATATAAGCTATTATTTATTTTACATAATTATATATATATATATATATATATATATATATATATATATATATATTATTTTATTTTTTCTAGTTTTGATAGAGCTGCTGGCTGGTTCTATAATATTAGTGGAGCTCCACTAAGTACATTTTAATTAGTTTTACCTAATTTATTGTTTAGATAAACAAATAGTGGGTAACAGTAATTGTTTTCTTACAGATAAATTTGACTTCCTTAAATATATTATTTTATTTTATTAAAAAAATAAGAGAGGATATATATTAATTGTTACAACTTACAAGTAATGATTTCTTGTGAACATATGTTTATGTTAATTAAGAAAATAAAAAAATATATAGGGGTTCAAATGTAGAATAGTTGTTGTTCTTTTTTTTTCCCGGGAAAATTAACTGAAAGAGACGTTAGTTAATTTGAACTTAAAATGGGAAGCACTAAGCACGAAGTCTCTCTCTCTCTCTCTCTATCTCTCTCTCTCTCTCTCTCTCTCTCTCTCTCTCTCTCTCTCTCTCTCTCTCTCTCTCTCTCTCTCTCTCTCTCTCTCTCTCACACACACACACACATTTGATAAATTAAATGGAAGATATCCAGATAAGCAATGGCGAAGGAGCCCAGTCAAATAGAAGAAGAATAAGGAAGAACAAATCTCATCTGGTAAAATATTTTATATTAAATTAACATAAATATAGATACACAATGTATCTCTATAACTCCAGGATGGGTCTGTGAAGAAACAATTCCGAGTTTAAAAAAGAATGGGCAGCCGTTGATTTTTGTCTTAAGCAAAGCCACAAATTTTATTTAAGGTAATTAATAATAATAATAATTATTATTATTATTATTTATTTATTATTTAATATTTAATTTTGTTTCTCTCTCTTCCCCCTGGTTTTTTTGTATTCGTCTATTTCTATACCTCACTTTATTTCTTTCCCTCTCTCTCGTCCTCCTAAGAAATTGTACATAGCTCAGCTCTTTTATTCGGGTAATTACTTTTCTTCATCATTTCTTTTTCTTTTTTCTTTTTTCTTTTTTTTTAATCGTTTATTGCATTTGGAGAGGGCTTTGATCACATTTCAATAGGTCAATTATATAATTTATATGTTTTTTTAGGATTATGAATTCTATTTTATTGTGAATTTTTTGTAATATTAATAGCTTTTATGAAACAGAAATAAATAAATAAATTGAAAAAAAAAATTTGTTGTGTTTGCTGTGAAAATCTGATTAAAGTTTGTAAATATAGGCTGACTTTGATCAAACTTGCAAATTTCGATCAAAATGTCGGAATCAGTCGAACGCCCATCCAGGCCTAGTAAGTATTTTTCGTTTTCGTATTTATATTTATATTATAAATATTCATAATCAAAATGTTACATTAGCTGAATTTTTTTAATTTTTAATTTTTGTGTAGGTATGGAGAAAATTGACATGGAAAATTCAGAGGATGAGAGGAAAACGAGGCTCGGGTCTTTGAAGCAGAAGGCGATTAACGCGTCGAATAAATTCAGAAATTCGTTGAATAAGAGGGGCAGAAGGAATAGCAGAGTTATGTCCGTCGTGTTTGAAGACGAACACGATGCAGAGGAATTACAGGCTGTCGATTCATTCCGTCAGGTACTCATCCTCGAGGAATTGCTCCCCTCCAAACACGACGACTACCACATGCTACTTAGGTAAAATTACGCTTTTACCCCTTGTCGTGTTCATCAATTTCCGATGAATCAAACGTGCATTGCATTTATTTATCCATGTTGCACTGAATTACTGAAAAAATCCTCGTGTTATAAAACTTATGATGCATTTTTTTAGGGGTAGTTTGTTAATGAAATTGAATCATTGGGGGGGAATTTTTTAATATTGATAAGACAAGGGTGCTAAATGCAATATTAGTGAAGATATAAACCAAACTGTGACAGGTTTTTGAAGGCGAGGAAATTCGATATCGAGAAAACGAAGCAAATGTGGGGTGACATGCTTCAATGGAGGAAGGACTTTGGTTCCGACACCATCATGGAGGTATTTTCGCAATTTATAATATCGAAAGTTTAAATTGATCATAGAGTAAGGAGAATTTTATTAATTTTTTAATTTTTTTTAAATCCATACAATAAATATGGTTTGTTATTTTTTCGGTAGGATTTCGAATTCAAGGAGAGAGAAGAGGTGCTAAAATACTACCCGCAAGGGCATCACGGCGTAGACAAAGAAGGTAGACCTGTCTACATCGAGAGGCTCGGTCTAGTGGACCCCACAAAGCTCATGCAAGTTACTACATTGGACCGTTACATTAACTACCACGTTCAAGAATTTGAGAGGACGTTTATCGATAAGTTTCCAGCTTGCTCGATTGCTGCTAAAAAACATATTGATCAAAGCACAACCATTTTGGATGTCCAAGGAGTGGTAAGAAACATCGGTTTCGGTTTTTTTTTTCGTAACTTAAAATTATAATCGAAAACAATTATAATATTTTTTTTTCGGGGGTTCAGGGGCTGAAGAATTTCAATAAGGCGGCTAGGGAACTCATTCAGCGCCTTCAGAAAGTCGATGGTGATAATTACCCTGAGGTACTTTTTTTTTTTTCTTTCGTTAAATCTTATTTAATTTGGTTTTATTTCTAATTGTTCGATTCAATTGATCTTTTTTTGTTTGCTTTTTTCAGACACTATTCCAAATGTATATTATCAATGCAGGATCTGGATTTAGGCTGTTGTGGAACACTGTTAAGTCGTTTCTCGACCCAAAAACCACCGCCAAAATCCATGTAAGTTACATTTTTTTTCTAATTTCGGCTCAAAATGTCACGAAAATCAATATTGCTAATTTCTTTTTTTAATTTAATAGGTTTTGGGTAATAAATACCAGAGCAAACTACTTGAAGTTATTGATGCAAGGTAAAAAAAATGTCGAATATTTAGCTAAGTTAAGTTGTTCTTCTTATTACAACTTCGATATAACATAGTATTGTTTGGTCTGAAATTGTATCAGTGAACTGCCCGAGTTTTTGGGCGGCACGTGCACTTGCGAAGAAAAGGGTGGTTGTATGCTCTCCGATAAGGGCCCTTGGAACGATACCGAGATTATGAAGGTTGTTAATTATCTCTAATCACCGTCTTAATAAAATTGTGCTACTAATCAATCCCATTATCAAGAATATATCTAACAGAATCTTGATTATATATATATATATAGATGGTTCGTAACGGTGAACACAAATGCTCGAACAAAATGGTCATTTCTTCTGTCGACGAGAAAACAATCTCGGAGGATGAGACTACCGTTACCAAGGTACAATTTTTTAATTTTTTTTTAACTTTTGATTTTTTTTCTGTCAAATGTTCGTTTTTGCTAAGGTATCTGATATCAGTTGACCGTTGACTTTTTTTTTTCTATTCGAAATGTAGAGTATGAAGAAAACAAACTCGTTCGATCCAATGAGCACTGGTAATAGGGAATATATTACACATCCGCAGCTCTCCCCTGTTCATGAAGAAGTAAGTAATTAAAAACGTAAATTGTATCGAAATAATCAAATGTATTTTATAAAATTGCTACGTAACTAGTGAGTTATTTTGTGCAGGTAACGAGAAACTCTGCCACGGCATTTGAGTCCGAACAATATGTTTGCATGGTCGATAAAACCGTCGCTGCAAAATGGAAAAAAGCAGCACAATGTGACAATTATGCCCTTTCTAGAGGTACATAATTCTATCCTACAGTAGAACCTCGATAAATTAATAACCTCGCTTAAATAATAGTTTCTTCTGGTCCCGACTCGGTAAAAACGAACTAAATTATTATTTCGATAGTTTAATATTTCACTAGATTAATAGAATTTTGCTAGTCCCAACTGTATTAATTTATAGAGGTTTAACTGTACCTCTAAAAGACGGATTATATATATATAAATCATATATATATGATTTTATGTTTATATATTTCTACAGCTACGGATTTTTTCCCGGTCCACAACACGGCATGCAAAAATTCGGATGGGCTGAGCAACCATCTATTCACCGGAGTATTGACTTTTGTGATGGGAGTTATGACCATGGTTCGTATGACGCGTAATATGCCCAAGAAGCTGACGGATGCCACGCTGTACTCGAGTTCGATGCGCGGTGTGGATGAAATGATTAAGCCTCGTCCGCATGCGTACGATTTGCCGGAAGCTGCTATCTCCCGAGCCGACTATTTGATTATGATGAAAAGAATGAACGAAATGGAGGAGAAGATGAGTATTCTTTGCCAGAAGCCCGTAACTATGCCGCCTGAGAAGGAGGAGATGCTGAATAGTGCTTTGAACCGTGTTGATGCCTTGGAGCAAGAGCTTTCTTCGGCCAGAAAGGTTCGATTTTTTTTAGTTTATTGCATTATGCACCCTTGTGTTTAGTCTAATTGCTAAAAAACCCCTATCGTGCAATTTTTTTAGCAAACTACCCCCTAAAGATTATTTAAATTTGACAGGCTTTGGAGCAAGCTCTGTCTCAGCAAGAGGAGCTGCTCGCCTACATTGAGAAAAAGAAGAAGAAGAAGAAGTTCTTCGCTTTCTGAACGAAGAAAACCACATTGACAGTGAAGTTGATAGCGTCTCGATTATTCTTGTAGAAAAATTGTGTTGTTTTTTTTCCATTTTTTTAGCTCCCCACAATACGATATATATATATATATCCTTGGATCGGCAAACAGGTGTTTGCTTTCTTGTACCGAGTTTTGTGTTTAAAACGTTGTTTTTTTTCTTTCGGAATTACGCGGCTTGCTGTTTGTATTATTTTAGTGTGTAAAGTGATGTTTTGGTGTTGTATGGAATTGTAAGCAACCATTGGCAAGCCAAGCTTTCTCTCCTTGGCCAGTAAAACTGTTTATGGCTCTTTCTTTGTTTAAACTACAATAACTAATAATGAATTTACACCTAAATAAGGTGTTTTGAGTGTTTATACATCTTTCTTTTTCTTTTTCTTTTTTGTTTGGGGTAATTTCATTTTATTTTTGTTTTGCAGAAAGGGTAAAATTCATTTTGCACCTTTGTACTATGCGAAAGGTAACATTTAGGGGGCAAATGATACGTTTTCGCATAGTACAAGGGTGCAAAAATGAATTTTACCCGAAAGTATATCTCCCAAAACAATTCTCAAACGACACCAGTAAAGTATCCAAATCACGAATTCATGTCTTCATATATACTTTCACAAAGTGTTTCGACTTTCGAACATCACTCAAACAGAATCTCAAACAAATCATGAACCACAGCAGTAGAGTAATAATCCAAATCATGTATACATATATATATATATCTTCAGTATAGATTCACACAGTAAAGTGTGTATCAAGGAGAAATTTACAAATTTCATTCACAGCTCGATACGACAATAATAAGGTGGGGGAGAATCGAATAAAGCCGGAGAATGCAGATATCCTCAACCATCAAAGATCGCTCAATCCAATACGACACTTATGCAAAGCAAAACTTCTTCTTCTGGACAAATTAACAAAGACTCGTTAGCACAAAACGTGTCATATGACAATTCTCGTAATTTAAGTTATATAATCATTCTATTTAACCAGGATAAGAAGAAATCAAGTTCACACTTACCCTGAACTTGGCATCTTCTTGGCTGTCTATATAAGCAAGCAGTTCTTCTTGTTTCATCAAAGCCTCGTACAAAGCCTGTTCAGAGCCACAAATACATGTTAATTTGGCTACAGACTGGACTTAAAATTAGACTACGTTCCCATGACAACTTGGGCAAGGAAGCACGTGTACATTTTTTTAATACAAGCCAGCATTAATGTTAATAAAATTACTCATATGCAATATTAGTATACATCAATAACTTATTTTATCGTAGTTTATTCCTTTTCCATTCAGATCCTCCTGCCCCCCACAAATTCGTCTTATTAACCTACAGTTCTCACCATGAGGTCATGTGTTTTCTTAAACTTCAAATTTTATTTTTGGGTCAAACAGCCACTAGCAGAGTCATCATAGGGCCATAGGGGCCATACCCCCCCCCCCCCCCCCCACCCCCCGAGAAAAAAGTTAGTGTGCATTTGGTCCCGTTAAGAAAAAATTCTAGATGGATATATAAAGGGCCTCAAGGGTATAAGAGTAAAATTGAACCAAGTTACCTTTTTGGTTGCAATCAATTCGGCTTCTAAGGCATCAACTCGGTAAACAGCAGCATTCAGCAGTTCTACTTTCTCGTACGGCATCTCAGATGGTTTATCTTGAAGAGTAATGACTTTCTCCTCAAGCTCGCCTAGCCTCTTCAGAACAGAGGAAAAGAGTTCTGCCTCTGTAAAAGATGGTGTTGGGGATGGTGGTCTGAACAGCAACTCCTCCTTGTTGTTGGTGTCGAAAGAGAACCCTTCAGTGATTTGATCGTTATGCTGTGACGATGCACCGGAGAGTTTCTTTGTGACACGGCATGATATTGAACGGAAGAACAAGAAAAGCGTCATGTACAAGGTCATGACAACTGCTGAAATCTGTGCACGGTATCCTTCGGGTATCTTTCGGGAATCTGGCTGTGGAAACATCTCTGAAACAGAACAAAATAAAAACGAGCATCTTGATACAAAACGAGAGAGAAAGACAAGCATTGAGATTCTGAAACAATGACAAACCTTTAGAAACGCGAAGCTTTTGAGGGGACTTTTTCCATCCTGAATCAACAGCCTTGTCAACCATAGGAACATACTCATCATATCCTGAGAAGTGACCAGCAGCATACCCAGCTGTTCCAATAGCCTTCGCCTGATAAATAAGTTAACTGTGTCTTAAGATCATTGACGGAAGTATGACCCGCAAGTAACTCGTAAGAGAAATGCAACATAGAAAAATTTCAGTTATTTTCTTGTTACATTCTTTGGACACTCTTACTATCTATATTCTATACATGCTATAAAAAAAATCAAAGAGGCTTACAACCAACTACTTAACAGTAGATGAGTTTTAAAATGAATTTTATTTCTTTTAAATCACCAAAAATCAGTTAATATTAAACTTTAGGCTGAACCATACCTCCTCACGAACTGGTGTCAAACGAAGTTGTGAGTAACTCCTAGTGGCTTTTGGTGAAGCAATATCTTCAGCTTCAGAGCCAGACTCGGCTGTAGAAGTATCACTGCCTTTAAACTGGCGCATACATAAATGAACGTTAGATATCTCAAGTTAAATCAGACATACTGAGAACAATGTGTGCCCTAAAAAAATATAAAGTAGAGCATCCATACCATGGGGTTATGAGGCTTAGCATATACAACCTTCCCATCACTGTTGATGATTTTAACAATCTGCCTAGCACGCCCTGCATCACCGTTATGCACCATCTGCACAGTTAAACTATCTTAATTTCACAACAACATTTTGAAACTGAAAACTTAAAACTATTATGATACAACAATTTAATCAAGGCAAATTAGGACCTGCAGTATCTCCGGATTTTTCCATGGTCCTTTATCAGACCGAAGGCATCCCCCTTGATCTGCACAGTCGCATGTACCCCCAAAGAAATCTGGCAATTGGCTGCACAAGCCCACAAAAGGATGTGAAGAATCGTTAATAGGGGTATCAACATTAGATAGTTACAAAAAAATGTAATAAACGTTATATTCACTCCTTTCACCTGGCATCAATTATTTCAAGCAATTTTTGCTGGTATTTATTTCCAAGAACCTGTCGCATTCCAGAAATCGAGAGATCTATAAGTTACAGGCAGTCTCTCAACAAAGAATAATAAAGCTTTTTCAAATGACGAAAAGTAAGAAGTAGAATACATGAATCTTAGTGGCAGTCTTGGGATCTATAAATTTCTTCACAGTTCCCCACAGTAGCCTAAAACCAGGACCAGCATTGATGATAAACATTTGATGGAGTGTCTGCAATAAGTTATTGAACATTAAATTATTAGCCAAAACATATAAAACATCATAATTGAGTAAGTTAAAATTCAGGGCTTACTTCAGGATAGTTATCACCATCAATCTTTTGGAGACGCGTAATGAGGTCCCTTGCACTCTTGGTAAAGTTTTTCAAGCCCTAAATACAGTAACAGATTAGTAACACAATTCCTTAAATTGACAAAGAAACTGAAACAGAAATCATGCCAATTACTGAAAGTAACACAATTCCTTAAATTGACAAAGAAACTGAAACAGAAATCATGCCAATTACTGAAAGTAAAGATAAAAAGTGGGAGAACATACCACACCATGAACATCTAAAATTGTCGTGCTTGAATCAATGTGCCGTTTGGCTGCTATGGTGCAAGCTGGAAACTTAACTGCAAAGGTTTTTTCAAACTCTTTAACATGGTACTTTATATAACGATCAAGGGTTGTAACTTGCATAAGTTTGTTATGGTCAACTTTCCCCAGTCTCTCAATGTATATCGGCCTTCCATCTTTATCAACTCCATGGTAGCCATGGGGGTAGTAATTCAAAACATCATTTAACTCTTCGAATTCGAAGTCCTGATGGAAAAACAGAAAAAAAAGAAAAATTAAAAAAAACTCAATAAAGGTAACTATTTAAGGTCCAAGTAGCTAAAACAAAAAAAAAGTGGGAAAGAAAAACAATCAAAACAAACGAGTCTTTGGTTTAGTTACATGCGAAGATATGATTAGGAACATCTGTCCACTTACCTCTCCAATGGTGTCAGTACCAAATTCGTTCCTCCAGCGCATCATATCAGCCCACATGAGCTTAGACTTTTCAGTATCAAATTTCCTTGCTTTCAAAAACCTGCACGTACATTGAGCAAGATTAAACTAAAACTTCTCAAACAGGAGATACGACTCCTGACCAAAAGGCCGTAGAGAAAAAATTAAATGCAGGCCTAAGACTGACTATAGTTGCTTAAGACGAATCTCAATTTGAAAATGGACGGCATAAAAATGATCCCATGAAGGGAGTAAAGGGTCAAAGTGATGTTCACAGTGCAAGTCTGCAGGCAATTCCAAGAATGCCAACAAAATATTTTTAGAGAGAAAACTATGCAACAGTATGATACCTAGAGGCTGGAATTAACGCATATAAGACAGCTATTAAAAATGATTTAGCCATTCTTCCCATCAATAAGATATAGCGCTCTTCTTAGTTTCCTTGTGATTTAATGTCGCAATTCATAAGTTGATATTAACAAAAATAGCAGAATTCAAGAGTATTGACCTCAACATCATATGGTAATCATCAAACTTCTCTGGCAGCAACTCATCAAGAATCAAGGCTTGCCGAAATGACTCAACACTTTGCAGTTCCTCCGCATCGCGGATATCTTCAATTGAAACAGAACTGACTCTACCATCACTCTTTCTTCTACTGCCCTTCTTCTTTAGAGAATGTTTGAACTTCGAAGATGCGTTGAGGGCTTTCTTTTTCAAAGAACCAATTCTCGTCCTTCTTTCATCCTCAGAATTCTCAAAATCGGACTTTCTTTCTCTTCTCTCCTCACTACCAGATGAACCCTCGAAACCTGTTCCACCAGAAGTACATTAACAAACATTTTTTAGAATAGAGTACACCCAAATAATGCAGTATTATGTTTGCACAATTCAACTTTTTAGCGATAATATCCCCCAAAACATATATGATTGGACACCAGCACTTCCAAACAAAGAGAATACAATCACATGTAAACCATTAATTTTCCAGGAAAAATATCCCTATTAAGCATAAATCAAGATAAAGCTTCAAGAAGTTCTATGCTATAACACTTCAGAAAATTACACAGAATTATTTCTTATTAACCACTTTTACTCCTCACAAAGTAAAAACACAATTTTTTTTTCAAAATTTTCACCATAAGAAAGTGTAAATTACCATGAACAGGTTAAACACCGACACCATTCATATGGCTACAAGCCTACAACCCCTTTATTTTTCTCCATATCGATACCGTTGTTTTTAAAATTCGAAAATTCCATTAATTCAGAACAAATAAAAGCTAAATCAACACAAATTGTTATCCAAACCAATCTGGAAATTTGCAGTTAGAAGCTCAATCAGCTCGGGACAAACAATCTTCATCACATACAGTCACAGATACAACAAACAGCTAAACATAAAAAAATCGGAAACAACAAAGTTGCAACCGTAAAATCGAAAAATTCAGATACAAAAAACAACCGAGAATCCGAACAAAATTCAACTTACAAGGCCTAGCAAATCGATCCAAGGGACCCGACATCGCCAATGTTGATATCAATTGACCAATCAACCAATCAATCAAAACACTCACCAACTCTGCAATTACTGAAACCCCAAAAAAAAACTTTATTTCAGTAAATTAATCAAAATCAGGAAGAAAAAAACCCTATGTGATTTTTCTAGATCGACAACTGAATACTCAAAAACCTTGTTTTGGAGTATAATAAAAACCTCGAAAAAAGTAGTGGCAGAGATCAGAGCTTTGATCGACGGTTATAATTGCAGAAAAAGATACCACCAGTAAGATAAAATTAAATTAGAAAAGAAAAAAAAAACAAAAACAGAATAATATAAATACGTATTTATATCGCCGGATAATTAGAGCGACGGCGATTTAGAGAGAGAAGAAGAGATAAAAGGGGGAGAATTTGTCAAATTTGTGTAGGTATTGTTTGGACTGCGTGGGACCTACATGACACGTGGCAGGAGGAGCGTGGGAGGGGAGGGAAACAGAATGCGCCGGCGGCGGTGGGTGGAGGAAAACGCCAAAAAAAAGAGTTTTGATTTGAATAGTAGTTATTATGCAATTATGATTCGGTGCCGTGATTTTTTGTACAGTACTATGCTGTTAGACCTTGTTTGAGCCGGGGGGTGGAGATTACCACATGATTTGGCGCGTGGTGTTTTGAATCATACGTTGTCGGTATATTTATTTTGTTTTTAAATTTTTTTTGTAATATTGTTTTCATTTGATGAAACCCCAAAAGTAATCAATCATCTAATCGGGTTGAAAATCAAGTAGATTTTTAATCGTTAATAGCTACTTCAAATTTTTTTTTTAATTATTTAATTTTGTTTCGGAAAATCGAGAAAATCTCGAATTCAAATTTCGGAAATCATAAGGTGTAATTATGTTCCAATTTCCACCCATAATTCAATGGATTTGTTTGCCTCCATTTTACATTCAATAAAAATATATTTTGAAGTGACTATTCCCTCATTAAATTTTCATTGAATTGAATTCAATATAGTAATCGTTGTTTTTATTAATTGTCCGTTTGGCTAAACTAAATTTTGAACAACTGATAAATTCCTACGTGTGATAAGATATTTTAGGAGTAAGTAAATTGTTACATTTTATTTTTATAATTTTTTTTTCAATTATGCGCATTTGACTTTTGTCAATTATGATTGGCCTCATTCTTATTTTATATGATATAATAAATCCAAATATAATAAAATATCTAGTATCTAACCCATCTTTGACCTTTTCTAATTTATAAATAAATAAATAATTGTATATTACCCAATTATTTGATGTTGTCAAAGTACTTCACCTACTTTTGTATTCTTTGAAGTTAATCAAAGAGCAAGAGAAACTAATTGCATATATTTAAATTGTGAAGACTTCAAAACATTCATAGGGAGACCAACTACTGGAATCAGTTGGTTGAAGGTAGCCAGTAAAGAATAAATAAAATTCTAGTCCAAATTAATTTGATTTACGTAACCGAGGTCAATGAGTGTATGAACTAGGGGTGTGAACGAGCCCAGCTCAGCTCGAGATAAAGTCTATTTTGTCGAGTTCGAGCTTATTAAGTATTTTATTTTTTTGGCTTGAACCAGTCTGAAGTTGATTTTGACTAGCTCGAGCCCAAGTTCATTTTGGTTTTTTTTTATTATTATTAAAAAATAATTTATTATAATAAAAATTAAAAAATAAATAATGAATTGTAATTATATATTTTTAATGTTTTATATTCTTATTATAATATTTTATATTATTATATATTATTTAAATAAAAAACTAATATATAAAAATAAATAAAAAGAAGGCTTCAAATGCTACAATACAATATTGGGCCTGAAACACTAGGGTGAAGGGTCAAATATCTGAAGCCCAAAGTGGACTTCTGTCTATGAACTAAATTTGGGCCGACGCTACATAAAAACTAAAGAGGAAAAACAAAATCAATACATAAATAAATTGAGAGTTTATAGCGAAAAAGGCATTTAAAAAAAAAAATCCGCTAAAAAGTGACAAAATAGATTTGATTAAAGAAAATATGAAATTGATTGAATTTTTCATAATTTGGCTTGATTCAATTATTAAAAAAAGAAGTAAAAAAAAAATTAATAATAATAATAATCAGTTTTCAAAGATGTGTTAATATTTTGTTGTTTTGTTTAATAAATAAGAGTTTAGGCTAAATTAACCTTTTTCCTTTTTGTTTTGAAAAAATAGGCTAAATTAACGTAAAGTGGACTAATAGTCTTGTTGCCTGATATTTTAGCAAAGAACAAACTTGTCACGTTTCTATCTTTAAATCACTAATCATCGTCTTAATACCTACCTAATAAATGTTAATATGCATGATTAGGCCTTAGGGGTGCAGACGTGTCGAGCTCGAGCTCGAATCCATTTTGACGAACTTGTTTAAATATTTATTATTATTATTATTATTATTATTATTATTATTATTTCAACAATTAAAGTTCAAAATAACATATATCCCTGAAGTATGATGAATTTACGAAAAAACTCATATTGTTTGGATAATTACATCTACTCCTTATTTTTTAATTACATTTATGAATTTCAAGCGAATGAGTTCGGGTTCCACCCGCCAGAAAGCTCGAGCTCGAACTCGAAAAACTTGAGCTTAAATTCGAACTTTTGTCGAGCCGACTCGCCTAACCCACGAGCTGGTTTAACTCATTCACACCCCTTAAGCGTGATGATATAGCAAGGAGTAAAATAACTTGTATACCCACATTAGCAGAAGAATTTACCTCCTCGCAGGTTGATACGAAATGACAAAATTGACCTCCAAAACTTGGTATGATATGCAATGATTGATGTGGTGGTGGGAGCCGTGGAGGAGGGGTGGTTGAGACAAAATTAACAGATTCAGTGATGGGATTGATCCCCATCAAAACCCAAGTTTATTTATTTATATACGAATGAATCTTTTACAGCAGCCCACATACAGCCTTTTACCTTTTCACTTATTTACGTGTCACTCTATGATTGTTACCTCACTATTTTCCAATTTCTTTTCCTTTTTTTTTTGTAAGAATAGTAATTTCCAATTTAAAAAAAAAAGTTCGAGGATGCCAAACTTTAAAAAATTTTAAATTCCAAACTTTTATAAGAAATATCAATCGAAACTCAGTCAAGTTTTAAAAAAAAAAAAAAAAACCCGACAAAATCTTCGTACAAAATCTTGTAAATCACACAACCAGGTAAACCGCGAACAACTGTTGTCAATGAAATTCGAACCTAATTTATTTTTAACCGCGGGTTGTTTGAAGGTAGCAATAAACCTGGGGAGGGGATGTTGCTTCCCAGCTGTATTTAGACGGTTGCGCCTCCCATTCAACACCCTGTCCCATCAATCTTTATACCCCACACCCACCACTTTTTTCTCATACCTTAATTCCAAACCCTATTTTTTTTTTCATTTCTTTTCTTACACCAACACTTTTTCTAATTTTTCATATATATTATTTTTTTTAATTCTGCAGCTATTTTCCCTCTATAAAATCACACCCAAACCAACACTCTCACTTCCCCCTCTCTCTCTCCCCTCTCTCTCTCTCTCCTTTAGCTACTAATTACACCACTCTGCCTATATTTTTTTCTTGGCCACTATAATATATATAATATATACTTCTTGTTTTAATTAGGTTAAAAACAAGATAAAATAATATAATTATCATTGTGTGGGTTGGGTAACAATCTGAAATATATCTTGATGTTCAATCTGTTTTTCTTCATCTTCTTCTTCTTCTTCACAATCTTTAAGATAATTAATGTCTGCATTAATTCTGACTGAACTTTTCCTCTCTGGGTTTATGGTAAATTCCACATACAAGCGCAGAACCCATCTAGTTCAATCTTTCTCCGTTGTTTTCCTCTACTGGTTCTACAACTACATTTCATGATCTCTCCTTTTCCCTCCTTTTTCTAAATAATTAATTATTTATTTTTATTATATTAAATCTTAATTACTACTATATATATTTATATTAATAAAATCTCAATTAAGTATATATATATATATATATATGGATTCATCAAGTGGGATATCGTCGAATTCATCGTCCGGGCTACAGAATTCGGGTTCCGAAGGAGATCTACTGGATCAACGGAAGAGAAAAAGGATGATTTCAAACAGGGAGTCGGCTCGGCGGAGCCGGCTCAGGAAACAGAAGCATCTCGACGGCTTGATGGCTCAGGTGGCTCACCTCAGGAAGGAGAATCACCACATGCTCACCGCCTTGAATCTTACCGCTCACCACTATGTGGGGGTTGAATCCGAGAACACTATTTTGAGAGCTCAGGCGGCTGAGCTGACAAGCCGGCTCCACTCGCTGAACGAGATTGTCAGCTTCTTGTGCGCCGGGAACAACGACGGCTTCCCGAGTGAGGAGGAGCCGGTTTATGGAATGGACTATGGTTGGAATTGGAATTGTTCGAGCCAGCCGATTATTATGACGGCGGCGGCGGCTTCAGCTGATGCTGGGTTTCTGTATTGATTGATATCTCCTAATGAACCTTTTTAAGAAATTAGTCTTATAATAATCAATTAATTAATTAATGTGGTATGGAGATTAATGATTATTACTAGCTGGAGTTGGGAAGAAAAAAATTACTAGTAATTAATTAATTAATAAAATATGTATTAGACTATATTAGGGTTCTTGTTAAAAAGAGGCATATATTCCACACAACTGAAGTATGGCTCTTCAAGAACTTTTGTAATTTGTAATTTGTAATTTGCTTCCAATTATGCAATAATAGTTATTTTATTATGGATTTAAAAATTTATTATCGAGTACTATTCTTTTATTTCCTGAATTATTATTGATTTGTTCAATAAAATTATTATTCTAAATTAATATATTTATAAAAGAAATACTACAAAATATTATAAATTAGAATATTCACTTTAACGTGACGAGAATGAGAATGATTATTGAGGAAGAAAAGAGCAAGAAAGTTACGGAAGTTCAAATACAAATATCGCAATCAATAATTGAAGTAATTAATATCTAGATCAGTATTTATTTAATTATTAAAGTAATTAATTATTTTGGAGAAGAAAATGAAAAAAATTAAATAAATTAAATGATGGTAATTTACTTGAAAGATCGGAAAATCTAGAGAAGAGGGCCCACGTGCAGGGGACAGGAGACAAATCTCTTTTAGTACAAGTACAAAAGGTATTTGTCAGTCTTATGATAATTTAATTACACACATCAGATTCATTAAACTCACTTGATCACTGCAATTTACTGTTTTTTTAGATCTTAAACGTGACATCTGAGTATTTTAGTGTACGGTACTGCAAATAAATATCTGACTTTTTATTTCTTTTAATTATTTTTTGTTTTTATAATTTCAGGTTTTTCTGGCCAGAATTTATTTATTTTATAGTTCAGAATGCAAGTTAATACAATTCCTTCAAACGAGGGCAAATTTAATTCATGTTTTCGAAATAAAAAGAATAATTTGTTCTACTTTCAATGAAATATATTGAGTAATTTCCCACTTATGATTTACACACACTATCACACATACATATATATATGGATGTATGTAAAACTTGTTTGGATCTATCCACTATGTATGATATAATTGTGTATTTTAAAAAATATTATATTATCAGTCAAGTTAGATTTTTAATAGTGCAATAAATACTTTTTTTTTCTCATGTTCTAACCTTAATAAAATTCATCTTCAAGTATTAACTATCTCTTATCACATTATGAAACGAATAATGTTATTTTAGTTTTTTTAATGAGTTTTCCCCCCTAAAATCAAGACATGTTTATTGAAATTTTCTATACATGTGCAAAACTGAAAATCGACAATTAAGTTATTTAAATTGTGTATTTCTTGAGGTTTAATAAGCATAACTGACATAACAATCTACCAACATCTACAATATAATTTCTCAAGACTCCAATAATAATTGGTGAAACACACTTTGTAATTAAATAAAGTTACTAAAAAGAAAATGAGATATCAATTGATGTAAAAAAACATAATAGTGACAATCAGATGTCAAAATTGACAAGCACTAAACAGTTGAAGATACAAAAGAAAGGTAAATAAAATGTACACTTTAATTTTTAATTTTTTTAAAAACCACTTTATTTCATGTGGGAAAAAGAGCCAAAGGAAGAAACTTGCTGTATTAGATGAACACAGTATATGTATTTCTTTAGTTTCCAATATCTCATGCACCCCTGTTTCAAGTAATAAATAATAAAAATAAATAATAAAAATAAAATTAAAAAATCATATTTGTCCAAAGATGCTTAGTGAAATAAAATCCACCCCACTTGTTCTTTTTCTGTACCCCATTTTTTTTTATTTGGTAAATAAATAAATCAAAAAGAAACATTTGTGATAAGCTAAATCAAAGTACTATGTAAGGTTTTCAACTATCATATGTCCAAAGCAAATCAGCCACATAAATTGGAAATTACCGGAATGTCCCTGCGTGAAATAAGCAGATATGTTTTCGATATGCATGGTTAATTGGTTACAAGAGACCTGATGAAAATGCAACGAATATAGAGCCTGGTTCTATCTAGCACATTTCGAACATTAGATAAGAAAAAATAATAAAAATAAATAAATTAACTATCGAGAGAGGCACCGTTATCTATATTCATGAAGTAGAGACTTCCGTGTACGCATGAGGGTTGGGGAGGAAGCAAATTAAAAAAAAAGGGTAACGAAGAAAAAATAAAATAAAGTGTATTGCACGAACAATGGTGCTGGGGTATATATTTCTATTATTGTGATTTTCACTAGCAAAGCCAAAATACTATCGTAATTATTGCTCGTCGTTAAATAGCAAAACATTCAAGTGGAAGAGTGGAGGTGCAAGAAAGGGTGGCAATAAAAAGTATAGACCCGGAATTACAATTGGGCAACAGCTCGATTTCTCGAAGAGTAAAAAGTGAATGTTGCTTTGAGGGGTGTAAAATAAAGGAGAGGGGAAAAGAATGGCATTTGCTATACACACAATTAGAAATAAAGAATATCATTCCGTAAAGTAAATCGATGGTTGTGATCGGTCTTGATTAGTTTTAGATTAAAGCCTACTGCAAACTGCAAAATGCAAAATGTTATTCCGATATATACAGAATCTGAAACTTGTGCCTTAAGCGTCTTTTCATCTCGACACCCATCTTTTCGACACAATATTCTCTTAATCCCGAGTATAACCTTTAAACAAAGAGATATACTTAATATTTATTAAGCATCTAAAATCGTAAAGATAATGAACTGAAAGAATACCAGCCACAAACATATGTATACCCTTACCCTTTTCGTGTTTAAGATAATCTTAAATACTTTTCAAAAGAAACGAAAAAGATAAATATACTAGTGATTAAACTATACTCCCATTATGTTGGTTCTTATGTAACATATAAAGGCAACGACCCAATAAACTCTTTATTAATACGAACCACCTAACATAAATTTATTATTTTCTTGCATTTGACAAAATCGAGCCTTAAACTATTGCATATAGTTCTTTTTTCTATCTCCGCTGACAGATCGGACGAATATGATTATTCTCGAGAAATAAGTCTAATGGCACAACGCAAATCACGCAGATTCCATTGTAAAGGAATATATGCATTAGTAATGTATTAAACTTTTCACTAAGACCAGGAAATTAAAAATAAATAAATCACTAACCGAAAACACTTCCATTAGTCCGCCTTTCGGTTTATTCCATTCTTATCTACGACTTTGAATAATTTGAACCACATAAATGTTGACAGCTAGAAATATTGTACTTCAAAACTGCATTCTTTAAATTATGACGGAATCTAGACAGGGACAAGCCTTACGTTGCCTTTTCTTCTCGTATTTTTTATTACAGAAATAGGTGATGCAAGCATCGACATTCTTAATGAGATTATAATCCCATGTGGCCAGCCAATGCCCTTCAATAATTCAGATGAAGGCAACACAGTAAAACCTCATTCTTGATTTTGATTATTGAGGTGATTTATCGTTTTTTACTTTTGTCTTTTTTTTTTCTCTCTCCTTCTTACCGAAATAGAGGTGGGTGATACAAAAGTGGCTAGGGCCATTATTGCTCTTTCAATACTAAAAAAAACATCACAAAACATCAGAGAGAGAAGAGATGTGTTTTTTAATTCCCAAAATTAATCATACTGTTCTTTAATCACTGCCCTGCATCTTTTATCTATCTCCTAATTGTTTCTAATATATTGAATCGTCTATCATAAGCCAAGAACTAGTCTGAGTAAGGACAAAATATTTTTATTTTCCTCAGATCAAAATTTTGGGAATTCAGTTGCTTTCTTCGTGAAACCGAAAACCTGAAAACCCGAAACCAAACACCCAAGCTTAATCCACCAAGAATAATTAGCTGGCAATTGGCCCCACTAGACTCGAGTTTCTGTCCAATATGCAATAAGCTTTTCATTTTTAATACTGAAATCTTTTCGAAACCTCTTATATTTTTTTTTCTCCAAAAAGTCCAATTTCAGCTTTTCGATCACCATTTTGCAGTTTGTAACATTTATAACTCATTGTTGTCTCTCATTTACACAAGGCATACCTATCTAAACATCAAACAGACTTCTTTACAAAGGAATTGTGGCGGAACTCATTTATCCGGTTCTTAACTTTTTTTATCCTGGCCACAATCAATCCTATTGCTAAATTGGGATAACAATAAAGCATAGATAGGATAGCACTGTATGAAGGATTAGCAATACTCAGCAAAAGCAAACATACCAATTGGTTGGAATTAAAAGCAGAACTCGGAATTGCACCATATAGAAAAAAGTTTTGTAGAGTGAGTTCTCACCTTTATGCATAAAACTTCCACAACTTCCTTCCAGAGGTTGTTTTCCAGCACATGCTGAGCTGTATCCGACGTGGACCAGCAGAGAAACCCTAGTTATGCATTTCTCATCAGAAATTGGAACCTTTTTTCCTGCAATTTAATAAACACGGCCAGCTGAGATACTTTTTTACTAATAAAATTCCACATAATTAAGGATCGAAAATCACAATTAATCTTACTTAAAAGTAAGCCATAAAAAACTTGCAGCTTGATTCATGCGTTCTCTTCGTAACGTGTTGCTGTGTATTTTTTCAGCCAATCGCTCGAACAGAAATCTGAGAGAAATTTGATTACTGTGCTGAAAAAGCCAAAAAATTAAACTTTGTTCTGTGAGACAATTCATCGAACAGTTGGAGTGCGAGAACGAAAACGCGGCTACACAAATGTGGTGACTGGTGAGAACGAAAACAAGCTGCGGTGGGATTGAATTGGGCCGATATGTTTCAAAATTCTGATTCGGTTTAATTTTTGGGTATTTTTTCTGTGTGCATTCCTCCTTAATTAAGATGGGCCCAAATAAAATACTTAATATTATTAGGGCCCAATAGCAATTCTTTTTTACTGGTCCAATATTGTTGGGGCCAATTAAATAATATGGGAAATTACGGATACCTCCTTAGATAAAACTAAATAACATACCGACCTATGTGGTATTGATAATTATAAATACCTCCCTAAAACTAACATCCCGTTATAAATCATAACCCAATGAATGAATTATCTAAGTTACCCTTTTATTAAACAAACAGACAATAGGTAAATTATTCGTATTCCTGAGGTAAGAAAAAATATATTACCGTTGTCCTTCTGTAAGAGCAACTCCAATGGGGTTATTAAATAGAGTATTCAAACATTTAATCCCTATTTAGATACTTCAAAATAAAAATCTTTAACTCCAATGGAGTTATTAAATGAGTTTTCCATTTTGATAATTCACTTTTTGGGTTGTAAAAATACTTGCTGGAAATTGAGTTATCAAAAATGTGTAACCTCCTAACCATCAAATCAGAAGTTGACACGTGGCAATAACAAATAAAACCACCAATAAACTTCCAATTGATAATTAATTTGATAACCATAGTTGGAGTACATGAATTTTAAATCAATATTAAAATAATTCTCAAATATCAAATGAATATTTGATAACTCAATTTTGATATTTAGCATTGGAGTTGCTCTAATGTAGGTAGATATGGAAATTCAGATGTAATCTTCAACATTTCATTACTCATAACTCCATAATGGTGTAATTGTGTGATGGAGAAATAACTTAGGGGGATATTTCTAATTAACAATACCACAGGGGTCTGTGAGTTATTTAATCTTACCTTAAGGGTGGTGCCCGTAATTTATCCTAAATAATAAATGAAATTGGATTGTTTCAATTATTTTGATATATACATTTAACCAAATGATGGTTTAAGATATCTTGCATTTGAATATAAAGCATTACGGAATTTCAATTTTGGTATGAACTCATTTAATAATGACAAAGGATAAAAATATTATCTTTGGATGAAAACTGGGGTTAGGTCATTATCCTTTTCCAATATATTTTTATTTATTTTCAAATTAGAAAATTCAGATAAGGATTTTGTTACTTGGCTTTTGTATTGAAGTGATATTTTGCATATAAAAAGAATCAAATATCTGAAATATTCAACACAGCTATCTCTATAGCCTCTAAATATCTTGTAGGGATAAAAATGCAATTATTAAATGCATATTAATAATAAAAATATTATAATAGCGTGACAAGACATTTTATTTAAAAAACAACAAAAGAATTGCTAAATATTTAGTATTTATTTGCTGTTAGTTAAAGCTTAAACGGTCATCTGACAATAAATAAATAAATTAATTAGTTAATAAATAAAATAAAAAAAGCTAATATCTCAACGGTCAGGCGGTTTTGAATACCACTCACTATAGATCGTAAAAAGGAAAACAAAATATTCATTTTCCACAACAAAAAAAAAAATCAAGAATCCAATTTTGAGCCAGAGTTCGATTGTTTTCTCCAGCTCAAAATTGATATCGTGAGTTTCTCTCTCTCTCTCTCTCTCTCTATCTCTCTATCTCTCTATCTCCTGTATCGAAAAATTCTGAGCCGCATGGATTTCTGCTTGTTGCGGAGTGATAATTTTACCAAGTCGCTATGTTGTGAATTTCTGCAATTGTTGGTAAATTTGATTGGCGTTAGGCTATTGAAAAACATAGGGCAACATGTATAAATTTACTTGATTTTTGTTAGAATTCCTTATTTTCTATCACGAAATCCCTAATTTCCGAAGTAAACAATTGGGGATATTTTTTTTGGTTAAAAATTGTATGCACATATATAATTTGTTTTTTTTTTAAATTTCCGTTTAGTTGATTGTAAGCCATGTCTGCGGACAAAGAGTACTATGAAACATTGGGAGTTGAAGAAGATGCCTGTCTAGCAGATCTCAATAAGGCTTACTATCAAAAGGTGAGCCATTCAGATAATATATATATGTATATCATAGTTTTCGATGTGATTGTATGTATTTGTTTGTGCCTGTGAATGGATTTTGTAGTTGTAAGTTTCTCGATTCCAATTTTCCAGCTCGTCTTTCTCCTAAATTTCTATCTCGGTATGTCGAAATTTGCACACTAGTTTATGATTTTGAGACCCAAAACCACTGCGTTGTGCTAAGAACTCGTTGATCTTGTTTTCGTCAACATATCCAAATTTGCTCATTTTTGTCATTTAAATATATTCAATAGTCGATGGAATGGCTCGTCGCTTTGAATGTAAATTAGATTTGCACATATTTCTGCCTCCTAGTGAGAGATCAATTTTTTCGTTACATGGTATTTTCGGTATTTAGTTTTTATTCGTTTCTTTCGGTGATGGTTTTATCAGTGACTAATGTGGGATTATCAATAATTAATAAATTTAGTGTTTGAAACCTGTTTGTATTTTATCGATTATCTTGTTCTTAGGCAAGAGCTGTACACCCTGATAAAACCCACGGAGATCCCGAAGCTGCAGCTCAAGATTTCCATGTAAGCTACATTGCTATTTCAGTCGCCATTAATCTTGAATATGTACACAATAAGGAATTGAATGTTGGATTTCTGTGAGAAAATGGAAACGGGAAGCAAAAATTTCAATTGCCTCGTTACGGTTTTTGTATACAGGCATTAGGAGAGGCTTATCAGGTACTAAGTGACCCTGAAAAACGTGAAGCATACGACAAATTCGGAAAAGAGGAAGGAATGAAGTAAGTTTTCGACACTCTCGTTTATTTCTCATTACCAATTTGTATATGTATAACAATTTAGCTAGTGTTCTCGATGTTCAGGTTAAACTTAATTGATGAACCTTTCTCTGATTTTAGGGACTCGATGGTTGATCCAACAGTTCTTTTCGGAATGATGTTTGGAAATGAAATATTTGAGAATTACGTGGGCCAACTTTCGTTGCTTTCTTCACCTCCCCCTGAATTTGATCCAGAGTTACCCCCTGAAGTTCAAAAACCCAAACTCGAGAAGATACTCAAGGTTTTTACTTAATTGCCCGTGTAATTGTTTTTTTTTTTTTTTTTTTTGAAAATTCTTTTTTTATGAAGTGATTAACCGAGCCTTTTTCCTCTCTTTTTACATGTTAAAGGCATTGCAAGAAGAAAGGGAAGAGAAACTCATAAAAATTCTGCAAAAACGACTTGAACTATATGTTCAAGGCCAAAAAGACGAATTTGTAGAATCTGCAGAATTAGAAGCCCACCGTCTTTCTCAAGCTGGTACGTACGTCTTTAGCAAAATACCCATTATGCCCTTGGGAGTAATATATATAATTTATTTTTTTAATGTTATTTTTTTTTCCAGCTTTTGGCAAGGCTATGTTGCATACTATCGGATACATATACACAAGGCAAGCTGCAAGAAAAATCGGAAAGGGGAAGCGTTATATGAAGGTTCCGTTTTTAGCAGAGTGGGTTCGGGACAAAAGACACTCGAGAAGAACACAGTCTGCAGCAGCTCAAGGTGCCAACAATTGTTTCACATGCCTCGATTTTTTATTTATTTTTATCTTATTATAATTTTTTAATCTTGAAAATAAAATTAACCTCGTTCTTGCTCTCAGCTGCTATTGCATGCATTCAACTGCGGGAGGAATGGAAGAGGTGTACCGAAGAAGAGATTAAGGATGAGAACACAATGAAAACAGCTGAAAAAATCAAAGAAGCGATTTTCGATTCTTTCTGGAGAATGAATGTGGCGGATATTGAAATGACTGTTTCCCATGTGTGTCAATCGGTATGTTTGAAAATCGTATTGGCTCGTCAATTGTTTGAATTTTCTGTCGATTTTTTATTTATTAATTTTAAAAAAATAAATTAATTATAATAATACATCAGGTTTTGAAAGATTCCGAAGCTTCCAAGGAAGTTCTCAGGTTACGGGCCCGCGGATTAAAGAAACTCGGTGAAATTTTCCAAGTAAGTTTAGTACTCTAATTTTGTCGATTTATAATTTATATGTAAAATTATAGAAGGAATTTCTTGTGACTGGTTTTTAGGGTGCGATGCCAAATCAAGATACAGTAGACAAAAGAACCGATGCATAGGTGAAGCATTGACTACTTCGCAGGTGGCGTTACGTAAATTGAGTATAAACTTAAGTCTTCTCAAAAGCTAAAATAGAAGGATGAGCTTATTTTTCGTTTCGTGTTTTTTGAGGTTCTTTGTACCAATGTAGCTCGCTCCTATAGAAAGGAAATCGGAAAAACCGAAAAAAAAAGAGGACAAAATACTATGGAATAGGAAATATATTTATCTGTGCAGGATCCGACATTGTCGCGCTTGTATATGTATACATAGTGTAGTTATACGCAGATATTCAATGTAACTTCGTGTGGCTGATCAATTGACTTCATATATACGGTAAATGTTAAGGGCAAAAATTGTCGATAAAGTTATATCGGGCGAAAGTGTTATAACGAGTCTCTTAAGTAATATATTGTACCTTTGAAATTAGAATCCTTCTTTTCTGATTTATTTATTTATTTTTTGGGGTCTATTTTAGAAGTATTTTGGCGGTAAACTATATAGAGAAAAAGTATAACTTACATCCTGATTATAACTTATAATCCTATTCAAGATTGGCATGAGCTAATCTTTCGAATTAAAGCACACTATTCTTAGGTCCAATTTAAAATTAGAAAAAGTAAGAGAAAAAAAAATAAGAAAAAGTGTAGGCTCAGAAGAAATAACGACGTAACTCAGCCAATAATTGTCAAAGTAATGTAGTTTAATTAAGGATGAAGATAATGGGTTTACTAGGTCTTCTTTAGAAACCATTATATGGTTCAACTTTTTTTTTTCTTTTTAATAATATAGTAACGAAAGAACCAACAACTAATCGTATGAGTTCATTGGATAAATCTATACTCACGTATAATAATTTGCAAACTTTACGTCAAATGTAAATTAACTAGGCTAATTATGTATGATAAACTTGACCTAATGAGATTCAAACTTGGGTCAATTGTCACAAACTCAATTACCCCGACCGTTAGACGATGCGGGATAATTGACACAAGCGTATTATATGGTTAATGACTTAATTTGAGGGAAGCTGTCCTAACACCACTTTTTGGAAAAAAAATAAAGAAAAAGAAAAAAAGATAATAAAAAAGATTAAATTAAGAAAAAGGGAAGATAGTGCTTCTAATCTTTATTCTCCACGATTGTCTTTTTTTAATTAGTGGGAATTTGGTACATTGTCTTTGTCGTTTAGGATGATTGATCAACATTACTCTTCCCACAAAAGCTCTTTTTAGCACAACCTAATTTGTCTACAAACCACACATTTAATTATTACATAATTACCATTCTTCTTCTTCTATTCTTCTTCTTCTTCTTCTTCTTCTTCTTCTTTACGTAGTCTTTGTTCAATTTCGGTAACCTGATATTTATATCTTCAAGAATTTTCAAGGGTATATATATATATACATAATTATATATATAGTGGGAAATGGAAGAAATTAATATTTGAAGGGGGAACTTTTGCATGAAATTCAAAAAAGTAAAAAAATTGAATTGAACGTCTTTTTGAATAAGAATTTGGTATAGGGTAAACCTACACTCTCATATAATAACTATACGAGAGACGTAAACCGTACTAGGCTAATCATGTGTGACAAACTCAACCTAGCGATCGTTGGAAATATTCGAACTGAGTCAATTAACACGAACTCACTTGCTCTAACTGTTATACCATTGATATATAAAATTTGGGATATCATGTTTAGATCTTATGTTGGTGCACAATAGAAATTGATAATAGTGTATGTCTAGGTTGCACTACTATATTGTGTTTTCAACAACATCCATCATTACGTTTCTAACATGCACGCCAAAAAATATATATATATATATTTATACAATTTTTCGTTTTATAGTACTTAATTAACAGTTCGAATATAATAATGTAAATCTCAATTATGTAATAAGTAACTGGCCAAATAATTAATCATATATATGTTAAATTCGGTAATCAACAACTTTATTTTAATTTTTACATGATATGATTTGATGATATGATTTTACATGTCTCTCTCTATACATAGTGTTTTCAATTTTAATTAAATAATGCAGTTATCCACTAACTGCCTACACTTAGTGCCCCAACAACAATAAAATGCTGTCCCTCAACTTTATGTCATTTAAAATTTTAAACTAAATTAAATTAAAAAAAAAAGCTTTCTTTTTATATAGTAGAATTAAATTCCAGTAATTATCCCTAAACCTTTAATTTTTTAATTATAATAATACAATTAAAGTAGTGCATATATGCACTATTATTTCTATTTGAGCAGCCAAAAAAGTTAAGTACTCTCTTCTGCCTTTGAGACAAAGAAAAAAGAAAAGTCTGTGTGTTGATGAAGAAGAACAAAATGGGCTTCATTCTTTTCAAGAAAATCAGCCTTCTTTTCCTCCTCGTTTCTGCGATTCTCGTTTCGACTTCATTTGCAGGTATACGTTTGAATTTTGATTTATTACGTTTTTTCATTTTTTTTATCTTACTAAATCACCGTCGGTTAATATGGCATACATGTATAACAATTTTGGTTATAAGTCGAGTTTTTCTGATCGTCGTTAATTGGTAAGAAAAAAATGTTTTCGTTTCGTATGGTTTATTTGGTAAAAAAAATATTTGCATGCAGGCCGAGTGCAGAAATCAATGGTGTCGAAAGAAGTTAGTACAACTCATGAGGTAACTTCTCTTATCAGCTTCTGATCTTAATTAATTTTATTTATATATATATATATATATATATATTTATATATATATATCTGGTAACATATTCACTTTAAGTTTTAATAACAAAATTGCACACTTTCGAATACATGCGCAAAATATTGGATGGTAGTCGATAAAATTAATCGGGTGTAGCATAAAATAAATATAAACTTTAATTAGTACTTTCGGCCCATGCATCAATGTTTGTCAAAATTATATTACTAATTAACTACACATAACAAGAAATCAAATACGTATACATACTCGCGGATATTGTGCGAGAAAATTGTATAATATATTTACGATTATTACCTAAAATTTAGATTTACTGTACTATGTCTTTTATATTATTATCAAATTTTTATATGCACGAAACATGATTTTTTTTCTTGTAATTATATAAATTGGGCAGCTACGAGAATCGTGGGAGCCATTACGCAGTGGAATTCACGAAAGGGTTCTAAAAGTAAAAACGAACGATTATGGAAGTTACGATCCAGCCCCTGCATTCGTCAAGCCTCCTTTCAAACTCATTCCGAATTGAGCGTGATCGATCTACTTAATTGGGGTGGCACAATATATCTAAATATTCACAAATAATTTGTGGAAAAAAAATGTAGTAATATAATTTTTATATATGTATGTATAATAGTGTTGAGTTTTATTATGTTAATTAGGGTTTTATACAAGCCCTATATATATAGAGGATCCTACTATATGTGAAATATCAACTATATATGTGTTTATGTATGAATATGCATGACAATTTTATACGGTACGTTATATATTGTATCGTACAATGTTCGTAAGCTATATTATTGTTTAAAAATCAAAAAAATTATCGAATCCCTAATGTCATCCATCTATTTTATTTTATATTATTACATTATCTTTTCGATTTTGTTGTATAAATTAAATGTCGTGTATATAACGATAAAATTTTGGTATATATAAAATATGTTGAAGGCATCAATCAATGTATTTAAACAAGGGCTCTAAACTTTCAAATAGGGATGGCAATGGGGCGGGTATGGGGCGGGTTTTGCAATCCCCATCCCCGCCCCGCTATGGAAATCCCCATTCCCATCCCCGTCAAAAATCCCCACGGGTATTAAAAGAATCCCCATACCAGCCCCATAAAATCCCCACGGGTATCGGGGCGGGTAAAAATCCCCGTCTATTTTTTTTTCTTTTTTTTTTTTTATAAATAAATATGCAATTTACTTATAATTTAAAGGTTTATTTCAACAAATAAATCAATATTTAATTACAATACTAATATTTAATTATATAATGGAAACCTAAAAATCCCCATTTTTAACTAATATTTAATATATTACTACTATTTAATTATTTATATTTAATATTATAATTAAAAAATATATATTATATATATAAATAATGCGGGGCGGGTACGGGGTGGGTCTACGGGGCGGATATAGGCAAACCCATCCCCGTACCCGTACCCGGTCAAAAAAAAATTTCAATCCCCATACCCGCCCCATTTTTTTTCGGGGCGGGGCGGGGATCCATCGGGGCGGATCAAATTGCCATCCCTACTTTCAAATTCTATTCTGAACGGCAGGGAACCAAATTATATAATTTTTGAGAAAAATAATAATGTAACTAAAAAAATTAGTATAAAAGGGCAAAACCAATTTTTTTTATACAATCATTCATTTTTATTTTATTTAAATATTTATAAAAGGGAAGCAATGCTTTTCTGACTCTCAACATATTCCCTTTTCATTTAATCAATAATTTGTATTATTAAAAAAAATCAAGAACTTAAAATAATGACCTTTTTTTTTTCTTTTTTTTAACACAATAATGAAACATGAAGAAATTTGCGGGCTTTATTTATATATTTGTTATTTTTTCCTATTTAAGTAATGCTAGAAAAACTTATTGGGCTAAATTTGTTCAACAATCGGGCCAGAATTGAAACATGGGGCCCAAATTGTATAACGCCTATTGTTTTTGGACCACAGAATAAATTCCATGATTTTCACTACCGTGTAAATTTCCTTATTTTCGTTAATTTGAGAATATATATATATATTTTAATATATCTTTGATAGCGATGGTTCCCAGAATAAGTTGAGTCACTTATGTACTTTTCCAACAATGAAATTTATATCTTTCTTACATGTGTACTTTGCAATAACAGATGGAGAAATAAGAGAGTTTGATGGGCAACAAATTAAAAATAAATTAATTAAATTTGTGACCATTCATTTTTATTTTTAGTAAGTCATATCTTTTTCCTTGATGTCAAATTTGGAATTAAAATTTCTCTCTCTAGGTGTATAAATATAAATTTAAAATTAATATAATACTCCCTCCGTTCCTTTATAATTATCGTTTTTAGCTTGTGCACAAGGATTAAGAATATCAATAAATATTGCTTAATTTGAGAAAAATATATGTTCTTATACTAAAATGCCCTTGCCAATAATTAATGTGAAAGAGTGTTGGAGATAGTTAATAAGAGTAAAATTGATAATTACACAATTAATACAGTATTGAAAATGTAAAGCGATAGATATATGGAACAAAAATAATTTAAAAAATAGACAGTTATTATGGAACATAGGGAATATAAGTGAATTCATAATATGTCGATCAATATATATTATGTAATATAAAAATCAATTAAATTAAATGGTGCAAAATGAGGTAATAAAGAGTAGAGGAAAGTCCAAAATGTACAGCTCCACCACCACAACGTACCACTCAAATTCAGAAGACTTTTATTTCAACAGACAAAATTTAGAAAATAGTTTTTCTTTTTTTTTTTTAAAGTGAAAATTACAAAAATAATTGTGATAAGAAGTAACAACCCCTCTAAAAAAAGACGCATTGCTTACGACGTGTTCACATTGACGCCGTTACAAGTCAAAAAAAACTCATAACCACCGCCGTTTGGAAACGTGGACCGTGGCACCGTCATCAGCCAGCGCCAACTAACGCCGTCAATTAATTGTCGTCTCCACCTTCCTCAAAATCTGAACTACTGTTCGAGAAGAAGAATCACAACTCCTTTTTCTCTCTCTACTTTCTCTCTCTACTATCTATACACACACAAACACAGTGTATAGTATAATTATTTACATATATATGCGTAACACGCACTCGCGAACACAGTATCTCTGTTTCTTCCTAGGGTTCGTGAGCGGTGAAAACGGTACCGTTCGATCATGTAAGTTTCGTTTGTTTCTCCTGTTTTTTTTTTTTTTTTTTGATTATTCGTAGAATATGTTAGAAGCAGGTGAAAATTTTAATTTTTTTGGATTAGAGATGGTAAATATAATGCTAAATTGTTCTTGACTTGGATTTCAGTTTTTTTAGGCACGAGTTTCGGATCTCTATTGACCGATGCAGTTTCGAATGTTAGGGTTTTTTTTTGCCCCTCTAAATAGCACTTGAAAATCGAGGAATTAGTTTTTCGTCTAAGTTTATTGATTCAGATATTTATTCGCTTCGATAAAGGTCTAATTGTAATTAATTATGCCTAATTTATTTGTAGAATAGCTGTTACGAGAGTTGTTGAAGATGTAGTAATTAGCAAGAGTGAAATATTCTATAGGATACTAATCCAGTGAATCTGATTTACTGATTATTGAATCTGAGAATTTTTAATTACACGAGGTGTGTCTTCTTCGGAATTCCTCATCGCGTTTTATTTGGCTTTGTTGGTGTCTCGATATCTTGCAAGTTGAGAAAGTAGTGATTGATAGAATTCACAGTTTTATGTTCACTTAAACGAGTTGAAGATTCGTGTTAGAATCTGGAATCATAAATTTCCAAGTCCTATATGTAGAATTGTAGATTTCTACTTCATATGAAGTACCAATTTTTTTTTTATTTTTTTTTAATGGTAGTTGACTATTTTTCCTTTAATAATTGCAGGTAACTTATTGCAATTGATTCCCTTCGTATTTGCTTTTCCGAGGTCATTGATGTGAAAGGAAATTAGCCATAGCTATTCGCTTCACTGACCTGTGTGTGAGTACAATGGGAGCTGCTTGTTGTATTGCTGCTAAAGACAGAACTATAACGAATGGATCACCTGTCGAAACTTTGCAAAGGCATTCACGCAATTCACCGACATGGAGTTTCCGATGGGATAATCGTGGACGAGTAGCTGAGGAAGAGACACCTGCAAATTGGTTACATAACGATGGAGGTGCCAAAACTGGTACCTCGGTTGAAACGGTGTTTGCTTCAGAGGAGGGTAGTCCGTTAGATAGTTTCCGTTCACTTGCCTGGCATAAGTCTCCAGTTTCAGAAAGAAATGGCGGAATATCAATGCCCCAATCTTCTGGTAAAACCCCCCTTAAATTTTCCCATATTAATAGATTAATCACTAAAACCCCCCTTTAGATTTTCATGAACGATGATGGTGAACTGGAACACATATTATCTCTCTTTCTCTAGATTATCTGTTGTATTACGGAAGGAGGCGTGTGTGTATTTGCAATCTAAGCAGTTGATACATGGAAATATATTTTAGAGACTTTTAGGCAGTCCTAGTATCAAATTAAGAGATGATCCAATGTACTGATTTTTCTATTGAATCAAAAAGTTAATGTTTGATAGAGGATGTGAGTGTTGCGTCTGGATGAGGGACGTGAAAATATAAGGTCCTTATATTTGTTTGCTTGTCAGCAAGGTAAAGGTGTACTCTGTCAGAATCTCTCTGGTTGTACCTTTCAGTCTAACTTCTGTTTAAGGTGCAGTGAGATAAGAAATTATCTGAAGAAGAATATTATGGTTGCAATTGCAAATAGTGGTTCACTGCACTTGCATTTTGCTAGACTAACAACTACGAAGTCTCCAATAATTTATGCTCTTTGTTATGCACTTTCCCTTCAAATTATTTTAGCCTTGTTTATGGAACATCACTACCAAATGAATCGTTGAATTGTAAACATTAGAAAGATAGTGGTTGCGGTAAGTTTTGATGTGCAACCAGCTATACATCATACGGGTTTGAGTGGTATTGCATGTGCCATTATATTCAATACATGTATGGAAATTTTTATGCAGATAAGTTAAAAGTGAAGGGGGGGATATCAAGTATATATCTAGCTTCGTTAAGACATTGCAAATATAATAAAGATTGGAGTATGTCCATGAGTTTTCGTAGTATGGATTATTTGATGCATAATCTGGAACCTTTTGTATACAAGACTTTAGCTACCAGAATTTGTGCATTTTCGTTAGATATATAGGTATCGTAAATTCTATATCATTGCTTAGTAAGAAATACTGGTAATCATGTATCAAATTCTTCTTAGCCGACACATCATAGCCGAACCATCTTTACATATTTGACTCTTTCGGCACTCAATTTAATTTATCTACTGTTTTTGCAGATCAAGCTATTTCCCAGAATATTGTAGAGGTACGTGGAGGGTATGGATAAAGTTAGTTCGATTTCTTTTCCATGTGAATACTTAGAATGGAATTCCTCTTTTGGAGTTGAAAACATTTTTCTCTCTCTCTCTGATCACTTTTCACTGTTCAGGTAAAGGAGTCAAGAGGCTCCCCAACTGTTTCATACCCGTCACCAATGAAGCTCTCTCCTTCAGTCCCTTCAGTCTCATCCACGTCAGCATCTCCTCTCTCTTCCCAAAGCCACCTCCTTCATCCAAACTCCACCCCTTCAAGATGGCATAACCACCGTTCCCCCAGACACCGTTTACTACGTCAAGTGTCCGACAGCAGAATTATCCCAGAGTACAAGTCTCCAACATTCTCAATATGCGAGGGGAATGAATCCTCAACTAGGGGATCTAATGGCGGCTCTTCAGACAGTTGGTCGATCCCTTTGGCCACCACTCGGAGAGAGAGATGGTCCTTTGATAGCGAATCATTTACGAGATCCAGTGAGCTTAATTTTAGATCTCCTTCGTTTGAGCTTCAAACTTGTGGTATTTGCACCAAGCTTTTGATCGAGAGATCGAAAATTATGTCTGCGAATGATCTTGCTGTGGTTTCTGTTTTGACCTGTGGGCATGTTTATCATGGTGAATGCTTGGAGACTATGACACCTGAAATCGACAAGTACGACCCCGCTTGCCCCATTTGTACCTTCGGAGAAAAACGGGCTGTGAAGATGTCTGAGAAGGTGCTGAAGTCTGAATTGGATTCCAAGGCTAGAAAGAAATTTAGGAAACGTGCTGTTGTCGACTCTGATGTCAGCGGTGATGTCATGTATCGTAAAAGTGGAGTTGATCCAAAGATGTGCTCAAGTTCGAGCATGAAGAGCAGCTCGAGCTCTATAGGGAAGCCTTTCTTGAAAAGACACTTTTCTTTTGGCTCGAAAACGAGTAGATCGTTTTCGGATAATCAATCAACTCCGAGAAAAGGCTTTTTCTGGGCAAGATCTAGCAAGAGTTGAGCTTTTTCAGCCCTGTTCTTATTGGTTTTAAAGTAAGTGTTTTATGTTTCGATTCTGTTACGATTATTGAATATTACGAGACGAACCGGTTTGCTGCTTATGATACATCAGCCCTTCATTGAACAATGCACTATAGAAGTGATGATAGCTACTGCAGAGTGCAGACACACTGTAAAGAAGGGGGGGATAAATTACTAATGAAGGTCCAATTCATTATTATGTTGGAAAAAAGATAAATGGTAGTAATTGAATTATAAGTATGTATGCTTTCGTTTGTATAATGATGATTTTTGGTTGTTTTTTGGATGCTGCGTAAGGTCACCAAATTTACCGGGCTAAGAATATGGATTAGTTTTTGAAATAGAAATAACTTATTTATTTAATAAATATGTTATTATTACAATTAAAATCATTAATTGAGGTACGGTAAAATTACGATAACTCCCTCATGTTTGATCCCTCATGTTTGAGTAATTACAACAACCCCTCAACTAGGGGGTGTGAACGAGTCGAGCTCGAGCCGAGCTTGCCTCTTTTGGCTGGCTCGAGCTCGTCGAGTTCCTCTTTTTTTGGCTCGAGCTCGAGCTCGTGTCAATTTTGTCGAGCTCGAGCCCAAGCTCTCTTTTTTTTTTTAAATATTTTTTTAATTATTATTTTATTATTAAAAATTATTTAAAAAATACAAAATAAAAACTAAATTGTAATTATATATTTTTAATATTTGTATTTAATTATGTAATATTTTATAGTATTATACATTATTTAAATAAAAATAACATATAAAAAATAAAAAATAAAAAAATAATAATAAATAAGGTTCGCGAGCTCATGAACAACTAAAAATCGGCTCGAGCTCGGCTCGTCAGAAAGCTCGAGCTCGAAAACCTCAAGTCCAAGTTCGAGCTTTTTACGAGCCCGCTCGTCGAGCTCACGAGCCCGCTCGGCTCGTTTACCACCCCTACCCTCAACTATAAATTTTCTTACACGGCCCCACCCTTGCGGTTTCAAATTTAGTGGAATCTTCTTGATTATATGGAATATTATCACTTTTGTACCCGTTTTATCTCATTTGAGCTCCGCATTGTGAAGCAAGATGATCATAACAAGTTTTTTTTAAGATGTGTTTTTTGGCTTGTATATATCAGATTGTGGTGCATCAGAAACTGTACTTTTACACAAAACGAATACAAATTAGAGTACATTCCACGGTATCTAGATGATTATGTTGAATTTGACACCATAAGGATGGAGATGTAAGAAGATTCATAGTTGAAGGCTAGATGTAATTATCCAAACAAGATGAATTTTTCGTAAATTGACAAATGACAATACCTCAGGGGTGGTTGTAATTTTCCCTAAAAAATATATATATTCGCTGTGGCTTAATGATTAGATTGGGCCAGACTTGTACACATTTATGGGCTTATAAAGTTACGGGCCTAGTCTTGTTTAAACTCACACTTTCGTAAATTCGGGCCGCTTATACTTTCACATCTTTTGTGTTATTTCAACACGTGTCCTTTTTGAACAAAAATATTTTATATACCAAAAGCGTGTAACACTAACTTCTCATATAAGCGACTGAAAAAAAACAAAACGTTTCTGGTGATGCATCATCAGGCATTAAATATAGAAAATGCTCTTTACGGTTTAACAACTGCTATTTACCGTTCAATGTAAAAAACAGTTTATCTCTCTAAAACCCCTAAAATTCTAAATTCTCTCCAAACCCACCCCATTCCAAAATTTTCAGATTTTTTTTTTTTTTTTCGAAAAATATCGAAATCAACCAATTTCATTGCTTGGGCTTCGATTTTTTCAGGTAATTTCAAGTTTCAACACCTACATGTGTTATATGCAATGGGTAACTCGATTTTGCAACCAATTTTATGTTTAAAAGCCCTACAAATCAATTTGTAGGGCTTTTAAAATTTTCGGAAATTTTACCCGAACGCCCAAGTTGGGCGCCGGCT